GATTTTTTTACAGAGAGAAAGGGAGAGGGATAGAGAGTTAGAAACATTGATGAGAGAGAAACATCGATCAGCTGCCTCCTGCACACTCCCTACTGGGGATGTGCCTGCAACCAAGGTACATGCCCTTGACCGGAATCGAACCTGCGACCCTTGAGTCCGCAGGCTGATGCTCTATCCACTGAGCCAAACTAGTTAGGGCTCAAGCCTTGATTTTTATGATGCTCACCGACATTGGCCAACGCTAGTCATATGGCTAAGCCCAAAGTCAAAGGGTGAGGAAGTATAGTCTGCCCATGGAGCTGATTGTTGTGTGTGTGTGTGTGTGTGTGTGCGCTTGCGCATGTGCATGTGTGTGAACATATCTGAACAATTTAGCACAGACTTCCCCTCCCATCAGTTTTCCACACTCCCGGAAACTTCACTGGTCATCACCCTCTTCATGCCATTACTTTCCCTTCTGACTGTGTTTACATTTTATACTTTAAAGTCCTAGTTACTCCAGACGCAGCCTGGTAAAATACGCCTCTTCCTGGGCTGAGAAGACTGTGGCTGGAGCCAAACACAGCCCTGCTGCCTGGGCTTTTACACACGTGACCACAAACCTCAAGCGGGCCCTCGGCGCTGCGCGGAAGTTAGTCTCTCTGTCCTCAGCAAGCTCTCCACGGGTCCGCCTGCCCTCTCAGCTCCTTATTCACCGAGGATAGAGTAACTCCCCCATCTGTCCCTCCACCCGAATGCCCAGCTTGCCAGCATCGACAGCCACGTGCTCTTCTTTCCTTCCCGTTGACAGAGGTGAACTGTGCTCCCACCGGAGGTCAGACCCACACACGCACCGTCCTCTGCCTCCTCGGGAGTTACCCCTGCCCTCTCTCGAATCACCAGTTCTTCCCTTCTTTCCGTGTCAGTCCTCTTGCTGTGCAGACCTGCTGTCACGCATCCACTCAGAACTTCTCTTCATCTCCCAGGCCTCTCCTGTCATTGCCCCCTTTATTGAAAAGTATCTGAAAAGGGTTGCCTTTACTTCGCTATCTCCACCATCTTCTCTCCTAGTAACATAGGGGAAGTTTGCTATGGAACACTCTATGGTGATCCTTTTTACGGAGGGGATCTGTATTCTCTCATTTGACTGTTTGCTAAGCGAATTTTGCATTTTCTGTTGTTTTTAGTTATTTGGTATTGCTTGCTTAAAGTGTGCTATTTTAAACAGTCCGTTGTATTTTCTGTTCTTGGATGAATTGTCTTATGAAACTCTATGTTTAAGTAAAACCCTAATTTTTTTTTTTTTTTCTAATTAAAGAGTCACATTTATTGCAGTCCGGGACTATGAGGGGCCATTTTGCTTTCCCAAATCTCATAGTGATAAGATGGTGGCAAAACCAGACTTATGTAGACAAAGATCACAAAGGTATTGATTACATCTCAAGGTTTGGAATGAGGAACCTGGTTTGCAAAAAAGCAGTTTACAGAAGCAGAAGCAGCATGTTAATTATAGTTTGGGTCACTGAATTGACAGAAACACTTTATCTAGAGCCCTTGGGTCTGGAATGAGGAACCTGGGTTAAACTTAGGCATGTTATCTAAATTACAGTTTTGGGTCTCTGGAACACTGAGTCAGCAGGGACACGTTAACTGGAGCCCTCTGACCTTGGGATAACTGTGCTGTCCTTCCCAGGTAAAGGAAAATGTGCTTTCTAAGACCAGTGTGACCACTACAAATGGGATTTCACATTACAGTCAATAGGGTATTTAATCGAATGGGATGATGTATATAATTCAGAAAACCAAAATAACTTTTCTATTGTTAAACAAAGCAAATAAGTACAGAAGCCAAACAGCGGGGTTAAAGTTAAACTATCTACCATACTTCATTCCCTACTGGAGTAAAACCCTCATTTTAAAGGGCAGAGCGGGCTGAATGATGGCCCCCACCCAAAGGACATGTCCATGTCCCAACGTCCGGGATGTGTGAAGGTGACCTGCTTTGGAAAAATGGTCTTTTCAGGTCATTAAGCTAAGGGTCTTGAGATGAGCTGGGCCCTAAATCCAATGATAAGCGTCCTCAGAGAGCAAAGGGAGGAGGAGGGGCGGCCCGTATGGAGAGGGAGGCTGAGATGGGAGCTTTAGCCACAAGCTACCGAACATCTGGAGCCCCCAGGAGCTGGAACAGGCCAGGAGGGCCCATCCCGAGAGCCTGTGGCGGGAGCCTGGCTCTGCCAACACCAGACTTGCAGCTTCCAGAACTGTGAGAAAATAAATTTCTAGGTTTTTAACGGAATTTTTAAAGATTTTTAAATTGATTTTTGAGAGAGGAAGGGAGAAGGAGGAGAGAGTGAAACATCGATGTGAAAGCAAAACATAGATTGGCTGCCTCCTGCATGTCCCCTACTGGGGACTGAGCCCATAACCCAGGCATGTACCCTGACCAGGAATCGAACCAGCAACCCCTTCAGTGCACCAGACAGATGCCCAGCCAACTAAGCCACACCGGCCAGGGCAATTTCTGATGTTTTAAGCCACCAAATTTGGTGATTTGTCTTGGTCAGCCTTAGGAAACTAATACAAAATGGATTTAATGGTTTTATAAAGCGACAACTTCTGGAGTAGCAGAGGGATTCATTGTTTGAGTTCTCTGAGTTGCCTGATGCCCCCTCTGGGGGTAGGACAGCATCTCCTAGGTTGTACGTTGCTCCCCAGTCCTGTTCAGTGCTGCCTGCTCTGCCCCCACCCCAGTCCCTGCCGTCCTCTGAGCTGCTTGGTTCTGCCAAGCTCTTTGCCCGAAAGCTCCCAGTGCCCCTCTTGTTCCCTCAGTTCCAGTTTCCTGGACACTCTTAGCCGGACTGTGGACTCTGATCCAGAGCATTAATATGGTACGTAGGTGGCCAGGACAGGGATCCCAAGTTAAACATGTACAAGCTCTCTGTATGCATGAAACTAACAAACCAACCACAGTAGTGCAAGAGCAAGGCTGGAAGGCGGAGGGAGGCGGTGCCTGGAGGCTCTGCCCAAAGGGAGAGTTCCACGCAGCTCCAGACACTGGGAAACTAGTGCTGCCAGGTCTGGCTTTTTAAGAAATGGGAAAAGTGGATTTTTCTGTAAATCTCCTGATTTGTAATCAAGGAAACTAATTCACAGTAAGACACAGAACAAAAATCAGAACAACAAGCAAAAAGGAGTTTTTGTGTATGTGTGCACCACACAAAAATGTATCTAGGCCTCACTAGCCCATGCGTGTGTTTTGTTTGTTTGTTTGTTTTTTAAATCCTCAGCTGAGAATATTTTTCCACTGATTTTTAGGGAGAGTGGAAAAGAGAGGGAAAGACAGAGAGAGATATTGATGTGAGAGAAACACATCGATTGGTTGCCTCCTGCACACACCCTGACCAGGACCCACATTGGGGAGAAGCCTGTAACTGAGGTATATGCCCTTGACTGAAACCAAACCTGGAATCCTTTGGTCCACAGGCCGACGTTCTATCCACTTAGCCATACTGGCTAGGGCTGTTTTTTGAGGAGACCTCTGTCTTATGGAGGTAGGATTACTCCATGTATTTCTTGCATATCTTGGGGCACTTTAAAAATCCCCATCTCCTACGCTACGAAACCAACGGAAGGGTCCTCAAAGGGTTAGGCTGCCAGTATGTACCTTAGCTGGGTATGTCCAGCTGAAGTTAACAAACAGAGACAGTTCAACATGTTAAATATTTTATTCACATTGTTTACAAACTATATCCACCTGGGAAACACATGAGTCCAAAAACAGATTATTTTACAGTCATTCACATTTTTTTAAAAACAAGTTCCTTTTTATTTTTTTTAAGCCTCACCCGAGGACATGCTGAGAGAGAGAGAGAGAGAGAGAGAGAGAGAGAGAGAGAGAGACATCAATGTGAGAGAGAAACATCCATTGGTTGCCTCCCGTATGTGCCCCGACGGGAGATGGAACCTGAAACCCTGGTATGTGCCCTGGCTTGGAATTGAACTGGTGACCTTTAGCCTTTAGGTGCACAGGACAACACTCAGCGAACTGAGCCGCTCTGGCTGGGCTCACACAACTTGCTTTTGAAGTTAAACTCTAAGCATGGAGGTCCTCAGCACAGGACTATGGTGCAGTGCCTCGCCACACGAAGCTTCCTGCTCTGGTGACATAGAAGTCCCGGCCGTCCACCTAGTTGGAGGTCACTAATGGCGTCCCTACCAGTGGCCCATGAGACTGTCAGTGCACCCTGTAACCTGTGAATGTTTAGTGGCCATTTCTGTCAAGGAAATATGTTTTGGAGCTTGAGGACACATCAGGTAGGAAGGCAACACAGAAGAGACTCAATTTCATTGGCTGTGACTGAGCTGTCAGGACCTTTCCATTGGGCACAGACAGAATCAACGAATTACGATTTCATCGTGTTGACAGCTTGAGTCATAGAACCAGCCGTGATTTGGAAATTGATGCAAGTGCCTTTGCCTGTCGGATGCCCCCCCCCCAACCCCCCCAGGCTGCCCCAAGCAGGAGAAGAGGGGAAATAAACTCAGCAAGAATGAAGAATGTGTCTAATGGTAAGTGTGTTATTCGGTAAGGATGCTGTGGGAGTGTTGATGAGTGGCCATGAAGATGTGCTGGCTGAGAAACGTCTTGTTAACCTACGCTCAGCTGGATGGCTTAGCCCTTCCACTAATTAAGAAGCTTTTCTATGGAATTTTAATGATGTAAAACCTACAGTATGTTTGTCTTAGCACGTCACCCCTTCCTGTTACATTAAATACGAACGAATCACTTCTTCCCTTTGTGAGTTGCCAAAGCTCAGAGTGTGGAAACTGGAGCTTTGGGGATGGGAGCACCAGGTGAGTCTAAAGGCAGAGCTGGGTCCTTTCCTCTGAGCTGCACCCGTGGCTCTGGCTGCTGAGGTTCTGCGCCTCTCGAATAGGGAAGCCATGTTTGTCAAGGTACCAGGAAAGATCCTCCCGCCCCCCCCTCCCCCCCCCCCCCGGGTAAAAAAAAAAGCAGTGGGATTTCTTAAGGGTTGCTGCCATCACCCGTGAGGAGACAACAACAACTCTGAATCCAAATGTAAGCGGAGATGTGGAGCAACTTTATCAGCATGTTTGCACGTTTAAAAAACAAACAAACCGAAAACCAAGACTTGCAAATGTCTATTGCGACGTGATTGCTTTAAAACAGAAATCCATCAACAGGAGCCAGACGATGGAGCCGGTCATAGCTTGTCTTCCTGCCACCCGTGTGCGTTTTTTCCAAATTTGTACACTAACCTTCGGTCGACCCGTTCCAGAATTCCCGTTTTATAGTAGTACCTGAGAAAGACAGCAGACGAGAACCAGGGGGTGGGGGTGGGGGAGAGGAGGGCGTGCACCCCAGGCCAGCACCGGAACATAAACACTCTCCCCATTCTTCTCAGGGGACAGCCTGGGCTCTGGTTACCTGGTATTTTCACACCCTGGTCTCAGCTTACACTGAAACCTTTCCCAGACACCTCAACTACAGAACCTCCCACATTCAGCTCCCAACGTGTTCTGTGTGTGTGTGTGTGTGTGTGTGTGTGTGGTGGCCGGATTCACAGTGATCCCCGGGAACACTGCCAAGAATGAAAAGGACGGCGTGTCCATTTACAGACCATAATCCCACCTGGAACTAAGAAGGGGAGTGTTGTCTCATGACCTTTGGATCATCTCACACACACACACACACACACACACACACACACACACACACACAAAGCTGCAAAAGCAGTTTACCGCCCTAGGGCTGGCCATTTGATGCAACCGCCCGGGGGCTCGTGGCATTTCGTGGCAGTTAACTCACCTCAGAGCTCTGCTCAGCTTCTCGTACGTCATTCTGTCGTTTTTCTTCCTTTGTCCCCACATCTTGGCCAGGGCCTCGGATTTCACCACCCGGAAAATGCCCTGCTCCCTGTCTTCCCACTCCAGGATGCCGCAGTTTTCTTCGGGAGACAGGAGCAGGTCGCGCACAAATTCCCAGAGGTGAGAACTTTGGAGGCCTTCGGAAGGAAAGGAAGTGACTTAATTTTTTTTTTTTTTTAATTTTGAGAGAGTTGTGCCACTTCTCATGAACCCATGAGAACACGAGAATTGCTGCCTTGTGGGGGTAGGACGGAACCTCGCCGAGCTGGGAAACATCTGTCTCAAAACTGACATTTGGGGACGCACTGATGAGCAGTACCGTGGCCTTGCCCCTGCTCTGTGGCACCACGGGGTCATCCTTAGGGAATTCATGAAATGACCGTCAAATAATCTTTTCATTCTTTCTGACAGGCGGTGGGCTGTATCAGGCTCCCACAGCCACAACTGTCTGGGTGGACCAATCCTACAATTATATTTTTTCACAAAAAGCTGGTATTTCCCTTGTTCCACTGTATTGTGGCTTCGGCTGGTTCTGGAGTCCAGCTGCCTGGGATTGGGGCGTGGACTGACCTCTTCCTAGCTCTGTCATTGCCACCTCTCTCCTCACCTGTAGAATGGGATAATAAGAGTGCCTACTTCATAGTGGAGGTTAGAGGGTTAGGATTTAATACAGATCAAGTGGCCGGAACCAAGCTCAGCAGGCCGGTGGCACTGGGTAGGTGTCTCAGTTCTGGGAAAGGCTAACAGGACTGCCAACTCCTGGTGTTTTTTTCTGCTGCTGCCCCTGAGCACTTCAGTGTGAAGACCTCCCCCTAGCCCTCCCACCAATAGACCAGGACAAATAAACCTTTCCTCTTCATGGTTAGACACTGTCTTTACTTCCTCATTTTAATTCTTATAGTACCATTCCCAAGTGAGAAAGAAATAAACGTGAATTAGACAGCATTCATCAAAATCCTTGTCAATTTCTGTACTGATTTCTAAGCGGGAAATAACGGGTCCCACGTAAACAGCCAGTTTCAAAGCCTATGAGACTAGGTGGCCTTGCCTCGTGAATGGCTTTAGGAAGTTAGAAATGAAAAGGGTGTCTCTACACTTACTCGTTCGACTGTGACTGTGACAGTCTTGACTTTTGATGCCACTTGTTTTCAGGCAACTGGAATCAGCATCTGGAACAGAATGAGTCACAGCTGTAGGAAGAAATGGAGAGGCCACATGCAGGCCTCAAGTCACACCCGAGTGGGCACATGGATTGAACACCTCTCTGGGAGGTGGCACCACGCTAGGCGCTTTGGGGGTGATTAGTAGGTGGGGGTGCATAGATGCCAAAGACTCAGTATTTGTCTTTCAGGAGAGTTTGCACCCAACACTAGGGACCTAAGCAAAGCACAGCTCATATCATGCTCATAGTAGGTGATCAATAGATGTTTATCGAATGAATGAATGAAAGAAAAGAAAGAGATGGACGAGGAAGCAAAGCAATTCAGGGCTTCAGATTTAGACACACCCGGGTCATCTGTCACCTTCTAACTTTGTCACCTCAACCTACTAAGCGTTCGTTTCTACCCCTGTGAAAAGGCTATGGTACTAGGACTTGCCGTACAGGGTTATAGGAAAGATGACCCGAAACAATGTCTGTAAAGATTCCAGCACAGGGTTTGGCTCACAGTAAGCACTCAATAAAAGCTAGCTGCTATTGTTAGTATTCTTGTCCTGACTCTAGTTATGGCTAGTTATATATTCAGTATATATTCTAAAGAACTTATGGGACACAGTATTCCTTCCTAGCCCCTCCTCCTCCTATGCTGTGAGGAAGGCAGGCTGACAAATAGACGCCCCTTTATAAGCGGAGACCTGACCCTGAGAAAGGAGTGGTCAGGTCAAACTCACGGCTGCTTAGAAAAGAGAGCAGGGGCCTGCCCTGGGCTCCAGCCTTGGGCCTCAGACTCAGGAATGGCCCCGGGGCCTCGGTGGGCTCAATTCTTCTAGGGGCTACGCCTGGATTGGGCTGGGTGGTGAAAGCTGGGGTTCGATGGCTGCAAATGGGTGAGAAGGGGCTCCACCAGCACCAGGGAGCTCTGTGGAAGCTTTGTTCACGGGGAATGCAGAGCTGGTCTTGTGAGGGCTCCGTGTTCCGTGGGGCACGGGGCGCCTGCCTAAACCCACAGCACGTGGTACCTGCACCTGGCTGCCTGCACTCAAACTGAAGAAAAAGCCCTTCATCAACCAGACCATCTGAATCCTCAGGTGACTGCTTGGGACTTTCAGGAGAGAAAAAAAATAAATTATAAGAAACGATCTGTCCGTCTGCCCCTCAGCGTGCACCTCTCTGGCGTCACCATGTGCCCTGTCTTTTTGCAGATGAATGAGCTGAAGTCCGGGAGGGGAGGGGCCTCCCCAGGGCCTACATCCTGGTCCCCAGGCCAGAGCCTTTGTGTGGGCTCAGCAACTAACAGCAACCACCACTGTCATCATCATTGTCATCGTCTTAAAAGATCAAAGCCACAAAATCCTCTTTCCTGAACCTCCATCTGCAAGACCAAAACAGCGAGGCTAATTTTCAGAATGAACCAAACCATTTGAGGTCCTCCATCACCTTATTATTATATACTCGGCCTGCTAAGTGAGCTCATATTCCTTGTAGACGCGCTCAACCACAGGCCTCTAGTGGTCAGTCATTAGGATGATTGTTGCTCGCGGACACCAGTTTTGGAGCATCTATGCTGCTGGCGCATGCCAGGCGCTCTGTATGCACTGTTTCTGGATCTTACACACCAGGTTCAGACAGGGAAACTGAGTCTGGGGTAGGCTAGGAGATCACAGGCCCCAGCCCCAGGCTCTGTCCACCACATTTTTTCCTGCTTCTCCTGGGCTGGGGTTGTCTCAGGCCATCACCCTCTCAGGGTGGTCCTGAAAAAGCGATCAGGCCCCTGCCCAACAGCAGCCACAGCAGAGCCCCGGGCAGCTGGACCTGGGCTACTCACAGTCTTTGATGCCGGCTTTGGTCTCTTCAGCATCATTGAAGAAGGAGTAACCTGGGAAGGAAAAAGCAAAGCACAGCTCATATCATGCAATCCTGGTTTCCCCTGGCCAGGCCCCGAGAGACGCCAGGAAGAAGGGGAGGGATTGTCCCCTCTGTGGGATCTTGGAGACCACCTGGTTTTTATAGGGCCACGGGAAGCCAGCCCTGAGAGGTGACAACCTTGTCTGTAAAGGCCACCTGGAGAGAGCCCCCTGGTGGTCAGTGCGCTCCCAGCAGCCTCTGAGATTTTCCCAGTGGGCACTGGGGAGGGAGTCCTAGCTTGAGTCCAGGAGGCCTGGGCCCTGAGCTGGGCTGGGCCACTGACCCCTGTGAGGCCTTGCCCAGTCACAGTCTCTGGGCTCATGGTCCTCATTGGCAAAGCCACCACTGAACGCCCGTTTGGCTCTAAGAGTCTGTGGTCTATGACTTGGCTCTAATTCCCCGGGGATTGGAATGCGTGTTGGGTGCTGGTCAAAGGGGGAAAATGGACATAGGAGGCCACGAGAAGAGCACAACCTGCTCTGCAGATTGAATGAGGATTCGGGACACTGCCGGGCCTCGGTTTGCTTGTCCGAAAAATGGGTGGGTTGGGGGTGGATTAGGAGTTTCAGATCATGTTTTCATGAAGCTGCATAGGCCAAACCACTCCTGCTTTCTGGCTGGGGGACCGATGTGAGGACTACCTTCTGTTTACGAAGGTGACTGGCACAGGGAGGACACATTTGTGACTGTGCATTGCTAGTGCCTCTCTCTGATTTGTTCTGGTCAGCCACGTGCCTCAGCTCACTCTGCCCAAGGGGCTGCCGAGACCAGAGGGGGACTGGTGAGGGGCTGCTCCTCTCCTCCACCCTCCACCCTGCTGCCTGCTGACCTCGCCTGCCAGTGACCCGTGTCCCATGTTTCCGGGCCCTTCGGTCCTCCTGAACCGACTGAGCCAGGCAGCACGTGGGGCCCCGGAGCTCCCTGTGGCTGCTTTCCCGTTGAGGAGCATTTGTTTTGTGTCCTTGTCTGCCAGAGCCTAATCTACGGGGTAAGATAAGGCCTAAACCAGGTAACAAGCAGTTCGCCCTATAATTTACTGTCCAAAATGGAGAATGAAACACAGCACTAATAGTTAAGTTTTCCAGGATAACAGGTGAAAACAATATACCCTGGGCAGACTGGTACATGGTAAAGATTGGTCACGGTGCATGTATTTCAATACACAGCAATGCTCCCGTCTGAGGAGCATCGAAGGAGGAATCCGAGAGGGGGGCAGGGCAGTGGAGCCGAGGGCTTTGCTTGCCCCTGTGCAGGGAGGGCTTACTCTAACTGCAGCCTCTGCTCCCGGCTCCTGGCAGGTCACTGTCACGGGCGATAGTGAGGCAGAGGCTGTGCAACGATGGACGGCAGGTCTGCGTGTCCTTTCCGCGCTCCTGGCGGGCCATGGCTCTCAGGGCAGAAGCTTAGCAGTGCCTGAGGGCCACCATCCTTAGCTCCCCTGCCCTCGGACAGGCATGATGGGAGACGATCAAGGGGGAGGGCAAAGTCCCCCGACCCCGAAGGTCTCTGTGGGCTTCTGTCTGAGCAGGAATCCTGCCGCAGCAGCCCCACCACGCAGGGGGCTGTGAGGCTGCTTGATTATCTCCAGGGACAGGGAGCTTCCTACCTTTGGTATCTTCTGAAGCAGCTTTTCCAAAAGAAGGTGCTAACTTTCAGAAAGGACTTTTCCTCCAGTTGAGCTGAGATGTGTTTCCTTTATTTGTAAAACTGTCTGCCTCTTGGTTATATTCACACGGACAAGGACAAGCTGTCATTTACCTGGCTGGCGCCCCTGTCTGCTGCACCAGGTAACGTTTCCCCGGCTCCTGTCTAGGGGCCTGTGGAGGTGTGTACCATCCATCATACAGACTAGGCCGGGGACATTCAGAGAGTCCGACGGCTCGGGGGGTTGGAACCGGGGTTGGGACCAGGTTTGAGATCTTCCTGATCCCAAAGTCCTGGCTTTGTACTGACTTCCCATGAATCAGCCCCCTTTGCTGCGTGACCTTGGAGAAGCCACATGGCCGCTCGGGACCTCCGTTCCTTTATCTGCGACACGGGGACACAGAATTATATGTGCTCAAAACCCCTGTCCGCTCGCGGAGCAGGCTGGAGCGGTGAGTCATGCGCCTAGAGCCACCTTCGGGCTGTTTGGTCCTGGACCATTAGGAATGGGATCAAATAAAGCAACCGTCTGACTCCCCCAGAAACGGGAAGGAGAAGGGTCTAGTTAGTTTTCATTCTGTGTAATGAAAGGTCAAGCAGAAACCTCTTTGTGTCCACCCTTTATAGCTGCCAATCTTTAATATATATATATATATTTCAGAGAGGAAGAGAGAGGGAGAGAGCAATAGAAACATCGATGATGAGAGAGAATCACCGACCGGCTGCCTCCTGCACGCCCCCTCCTGAGGATCAAGCCCGCAACCTGGCCATGTGCCCTGTGACCGGAACCATGACCTCCTGGCTCATAGGTCAACATTCATAGGTCGAGCCACGCCAGCCAGGCGATAGCTGCCAGTCTTTATGAACATAATACATTATTTTGTTGTATAGCCTGGGTGGTCCCTGAAAGCTATTTTCAATTTCCTTTTTTCTTTTGAAAAATGTACCCAACTTGCCTTCCCGTATCCTGCTCCCTTTCACCTACAACCTCCGATCCCGTCATTCTAGAGCTTCTGGTTTCCAAGAGGTTTTGGTTAACGGGATTTGGCCAAACAGAAAGTGCCAGTGAGGGAGGTTTGCACTGGGAGTCCCACGGCAGGGAGGGACCTGATGGGTCCTGTGGTCCCGGCTGCCACCCCACCCTCCAGGCACCGACCTTGGGAGCGGATGTTCTGGAGGATGAAGTACAGGTACTCCCCGCAGAGGCCCGCCGCCTCCACGAACTCCTCCTGGGTCATGCTGCACAGCTGCAGGCCGCTGACGTTGAAGTGGCAGAAGGAGATGCAGTTGGTGTCCAGTTTGTACTGGTCGCAGCAGAACTGGAGCCATTCCCAGACGTGGCGCTTCGTCCAGTACTCGGGGTGGACGGACGTCCAGTAGGAGTCGCAGGCTGCGCCGGAGGAGAGAGAAGTGAGGGACGACGCCCCTGGGAGAGCCTTGGGAAGGTCCCCGAAGGCGGCCCCGGGTGCATCAGCATCCTCATCCCTTGCCCACGAGTTGAAAGTGGCTCCAGCCCTGGGGTGGTGGGGAGTGAGAATGGGTTCTGCTGGGGCCCAGGCCACCTTCCATTCCGCAGTAAAAACCAGAGGGGACTGCATCCTGCGGGTGGACATGAGGGCAGAAGAGGGAGGGCCAGGGGCACTGTGGCTTGGGAGTGTCCAGGCCTAGTTGGGTGCCTAGGAAGAGGGCAGTTAGAGGGGAAGGAAAGAACAAGGCCCTTCAGTGATTCCGTGTCAGACGACATGGTGTCAAGATCACAGGCTTTGGAGCCTGACAGGCCTGGTCCAAATCCTGGTTCTGTCGCTTCCCACTGGGGCCAGGTCCATAGCAACTTAAGCGTCAGTGTCCTCATCAGTAAAATGAGGATTACGTGCCCAGCACACAGGGCTGTTTGCAGGCGGGGTTAACACATAGAGGCTGTGTGGCTCACAGGAAACTATCCGTCCGTTCAATAGTTGCTAAATGCCTCCTGTGTGCCGGGCGCCCTCTGAAGCTGGTTTGATTCGCTCTGCTTTTATGGACAGTTTTCAATACTCGCTCCTGGTCTGTGCACCGCCTCTGGCCACCTGCAGGCAGGGGCCGAGGGCTGGCGAGACGTTGCCCAGAGACCAGCAGACTGTGGGTCTCCATAACAGCTTTCTCTGGAGGAAAGCGGGGACTGGTTGCAGTGTTGTTTCGCGGTGGTTCTCAACCTTCCTAACGCCGCCACCCTTTAATACAGGTCCTCACGTTGTGGTGACCCCCAACCATAACATTATTTTCGTTGCTACTTCATCACTGTCATTTTGCTAATGTTATGCACCGTAATGTAAATATCTGATATGCAGGATGTATTTTTCAGGGGTCGCGACCCACAGGTTGAGAACCGCTGCTAGGGTGTTTTAAAGAAATTCTATCCTAAGACCAGTGCCCCTTCCCTCCTTCAGAGGACCCCCGTACACACTCAGACAGAGGGGGCGCCATCCTCTCCGGGAGGCGGCGGTGCCTGGCCTGGGGTACAATGCAGGAGAAACAAAGGGTGGTGGACACAGGATACGGAGGAGGTGAGGTACCAGTACCCGGCCAGGCTCTTGGACATAAATAGTTCTCGCGATCGCATCGTACTCATTCATGCGGCCCTTCATTCCACAACAAGCCTCGGCTTCCTCACTGGTAAGATGGGGAGAATGGCGGCGCCTGCATCCTAGAGCTGTTCTGTGGATCAGATGAGTGACTCTATATAGAAGCACTTAGAAGGGAGCCCGGGAGAGTTTAGTGCCTCTATTAAGATGACCATCGAACACCTGCTCTACGCAAAGCAAGAACTCGTGTGGGAAGGAGTCAGGGTAAAGAAGAGTTTGGTCCTGTCCCCTGGGAGGTCACAGATGAGGAAGCGGAGGGTCGCGGAGGACGTGGCTGCGATCCCACAGCCAGTGTGTGGCGGAGCTGGGGTTTGAACCCCAGTCTGAACTTGAAAGCCGTTACTCTTCCCATTCCATCACCCTGGTCCTCAGAGGCTCAGTGCAGAGGAGAGATGAAACAGGGAGCGAGGGGGGAGGCAGTTGGGGAGCCAGAGAGATAAGAAGGCCCGCGGAGAGAGGTGGGGAGCAGAGTACAACGCCGCTGACGGCCCAGGTCACGGGGACGACAGAAAGGGTCACTCACGGGTTAGTCTGCGGAGCTAATGGCAGTGAGGCTGTCTGAGCCCCCCTTAAATGCTGCGTTGGCTGCCACTGTCCCCAGGGGATGGTTCTCTGCCCTGTGAGGTGTACCGCTCCCCGACACCCCCATGCCAGCTTCTCAAGTTCCTCAAATCCCCCCAAATAGGTAGGATTGCGCATTTCAGAAGACGGAAATGGAAGCTCCCCTTAAAGCTCCGAGTCCTTCCAGAAGTTGATTTTCCTCCCCTAGAGTGGATTGAGGGGCAGTCAAATTTAATAAATATTTTTAATGTATTTATAATTTTTCATCTGAATTCGATGTGCACGTGGCTCAAAGGCTCGATACCGTGCCAGGTGGCTGAGGCCAATGTCACTGCCTCTATGCCCGCTATGCCTTGGTGGGGAGAGTGAGGGTCTGCTGGCACTGCCTCTCTGGCCCCCTGGCCTCTGGCTGGAGCTGGCCTCCTGGCCAGGGGGGTGTGCCTGGTGGCCAGCAGGGTCTCCTGGGACAATAGTGCGGCCACTCCTGAGTCTCTGTGTACTTTCTGTCCGCTGATTTCTGACTTGAGCCAACCTAAGAAGGGCCCTTTTCTTGCCTGGTGTTCTGACGAGAGATTTTTATGAGCCTGACATTCTCCGTCCTGGTTCCGAGCTGAGAGCTGACAGAGGTGCCCTGCAGGTGGAGGGCACAGCTTGCTGCTTCTTTTCATGGAAAGGGTTCTCCGAGCCTCCATGCCCTCCCCTCTCCGCCTCCACACCCTCATTATTTTCTTTGGCGCTTGGAGAGGGCCATGTTGTTTCTGGAAGCCAAGCTAAGGGTTCGGAGAAATGCCTGGGTGGGGTGGGTGGGCACCGACACCCGGGAGGTGTTGCTGGCAGGACTCCCTCCTCAGCTCTCCCCTGCATCTGGCCACAGAGCCGGCTTTGTGTGCTGCTCGGCCTGGAGGGAAGCCAGGACCAGGACAGCCCCAGAGCGGAGAGGAAAATGCTCTTCTCGGGGCCTGGGGCGCTTCTGGGCTGTGGTGTGCCTCGCGGTCCTGTCCCGGCAATGCTGAGGCCGCAGCGGTGAGGCTGGCAGGGGTGAGGAGGCCCCGTTGCTCCCTCAGGTTGCCTCCAGCTCAGCACCTTTCCACAGGTGCCTCCCTTGCTCAGGACGAGGCCCCCATCTGCCTTCTTCTACTTCCTGCTCCTCCTCAAGGCCACAGCGCAGGCCCCCTCTCAGCCAGGCTTCCCTCCCTGCACAGCCCCCTCAGGTGCCCTTCTCATTCGGACACCCCCCCCTCGCTCTCTCTCCAGACCGTGGTGAGCCCCAGGAGGTGGGGCCACCTCTGCTTGCCTCACCTCTGCTTGGCTCTCCCAGGATCAGAGGTGTGGGGGCCTGGCCCACCGTGGGTGCTCAGTGAGGGCAACCGGCTGGCCGAACGACCGGTGGTTGTTACCTCCACTTTCCGGTGGGGACACTGAGGCTCTGGGAGGTCCGATGGCATTGAATACAGCCGCACAGCTGGTCAGGAAGGGAGCCAGCCCCACGCTAACCCTGACCTCCTTGGCTGTGGGCATTCTGCATCCTATCACTTTGGTTGAGGAGGACCAAACTGGATACACACCTTGAAGTCTAACTAAGAAGGATTTGGATGATGGCAGGTATCAGATATATCATCTAGGTTTGAAACATCAGAAAAAGGGTGGAGAGACTGGTGATGACAATGTTTGCAACCCCAGGGAAGGACCTGAAGCAGACACTTTGCCCTTTGGTTACTTGGAAGAGATAAACTCAGGGCCAAAAAAAAAAAAAAAAGGGTAATACACTCACAGAACATGTTATCTTTAATAAGTTGTATCTTTTGAAAATATAAAGTGTTTTCCTTCATGCGTCTGCCATTCATAAAATAATCTAAGCTGTTTGGAGAAGCTGAGGTCTGAGGCCCTTTGCGTACATCTACCGGTTAGAGATGATGGCATCCAGTGCCCGGTAGACTTCATCCAAACGTCCACAGGCCACTGCTGAGCAGCAGGCTGGCCAGCTCCTTGGAAGTCAGAGGCGGGCCAGGACACTTGTGTAAGGGCCAGCTGCGTTGGGAAGAAGAACTTGGGACGTAACAGGGACAATTTTAGAGGGATTCCGACCAGGATGCGATAGCCTGGGATGCACATGCATTTAGAAGGAGGATTCGAGCTTTCGGAGTGGGGCTGGCACGCTCAGATGCCCACAGAGCCAGCAGGTAATGCCCATGCCTGAAGGGGCCCACGTGGGGATGTTGAGACGTGCCATGCGGGAAGGTGGGCCCTGTGGTGCCAGGTCCAGATTGTTATGTGAAACCGCATGATTTTTTTTAAGTGCTGGCAAGTGATTTCATTTTTAACAAACACCCTGAAGGCCGAGGGAGACTCTTTCACAGGCTGGGCCTCCCTGGAAGCCACTTTGTGGTGGAGAACTTCACCTGCTTTGGGACAGCTGTCTCCTTGGAGATCATTGTTTAGAGTGGGCGTGCTAAGAGTGTCAACTTTTGTAAGTTGAGTAGCATTTCCTTCCAATTAAAAGTTATTTGGAAGAAAAGCAGCGCTGCTTTGCTGGGAGTTGAGGTGAAGGGACGAGACAACTTCCCCTCCGTAGCACCACAAGGCAGCGTGGAAACCCTGCTCTAGAACACGAAACTGGGGCTCCTGCTGTTTGGATTCCCCGAGAAGGTATGTGGTCTCACACTTAGTGGTCCTGACTTCTTGGGATTTATCTGCAAAATAGGAAAAACAGGACCTCCTTCTCCTGCCCTTGAGAGGATTAAGTGAATCAAAACACAGAAAGAACTTAGAACAGGGGCAGGCATGCAGTAAATGCTCATTAAATGCCACCCATTTATACTTGCTAACATTCGGGCTACCCATACCACTACTCTAATTGCATTTCCCCAAATACTTCTGACATGTTCTCTCTCTCTCTCTCTCTCTCTCTCTCTCTCTCTCTCTCTCTCTCTCCTCTCTCTCTCTGTAGGCCAGCACCTCTGTTCCCTTCCAGAGCTTTGGGTTCATTTTCTTTATGAAATAAGGGTATTATATTATTAACCATGCTAATCCGTCCTTGTACTGCTAACATGAGTAAGGTAGCCAGTGCTGTTCAATACATGGGGCACAGGTGAGTCTGTGTGACTTTGTAAATGATCCATGATCAGGACATACCCCAGGCCCTTGCTTCTGACACGGGTGGGAAGGCAGGGCTAAGCCCCGGGTGGACAGCAGGTGACGGGGTGAGTAG